CCCTAACCAGCTGTGCCAGCTGTGACAGCCAAACCACCCACACCAATCCTAACCAGCTGTGCCAGCTGTGCCAGCTGTGCCAGCCAAACCACCCACACCAGCCCTAACCAGCTGTGCCAGCTGTGCCAGCTGTGCCAGCCAAACCACCCACACCAGCCCTAACCAGCTGTGCCAGCTGTGCCAGCCAAACCACTCACGTCAGCCCTAACCAGCTGTGCCAGTTGTGCCAGCCAAACGACCCACACCAGCCCTAACCAGCTGTGCCAGGGCCAAACCACCCACGCCAGCCCTAACCAGCCCTACCATCCGTGCCAGCTGTGCCAGCTGTGCCAGGGCCAGGCTCAGCAGCTCTCGGCCAGGAGCTGCCACATCCCAAATCTCACAGCTCCCTCTGTTGGCATCTGTTCGAAGCTATCCGCGAGGATGCAATAAAAGTTGGCAATGTCTGTATGTTTTTTTTTACCACAGTCTCCAGGCGGAAGGCGATGGGGCTGCGGGGGTATACCCCACCCACCCAAAGACTGGGTTCATTTCTGTTATAACTCTAACGACCGACACTGGACCACGGCTCCTGATGCTGTAGGGATCACAGCTCTGCTGAAGACAGCTTTTCAGTCCTTTTTCCAAAATACGTGAGAAGATGTAGCTGGAAGTACTCCGAGGACCGACATACGAGTACGGGCGAGGATGCTGTGAAAATCTGCCAGCCTAGATATTCTCCCAGCACAGCCTCCCCGTCCGCTCTCACCAGCCCTAAGGAGTTAATCACACTAAATATGCTTGAGCTCTGTCTGTCCCTTACTGATCATGCAAATTAGCACCTCCGCATACGAAAGAAAATCAGATAGTGTGCAAATGATTCGCTGCCTTTATTTTTTTCCGGTCTTTACAAAAACTCTCAGACAGCAAGCTTTGGCAAGGTTGCTTAAACAAATGATAGTACAGCTATGTAAAACAGTTTCAATACTTCACCAAAGAGGTAGGAATATAATGAAACCTAAGCCTCAAATGTATTTCAAATATTTAACTGATTAGGCAGTTTACAGAGACAGATAATCGAGACAGCCCACCAAAGCGTTAGCTGGATTTACAGAGAAGGCACAGCCAGCAGCGCTGACTTTCCTTTGAAGATCTCGGTTCCGGATTTCCCAGCTTGCAGAGCCAAGGGGTGGCCAAGCTGCCTGGTTCGAATGCGAGGGATTTAACCTGATCAACTCTTCCACAAGAAATGGTGCAACGAGCAAAGAGAACCAGAATTCGCTCCTTGTGCTCCTGACCTGCAACGCTGAACGGCCAGGGAAGATGTTGAAAAAAACCCAAATACCCACTTTTTTTTTTTTTCTGTGTCGCTATAGAAAAAGCCATGCAAACAATCCCTTCGGACTGGACGAGGGACAAGGCTGGCAGAGATGCCTGCATGGCCTCGGGCCTCTTTGGCAAGCCTGGTTTGCATTTGCTGTGTGTGCCCTCCCCATTTTACCTGCTGATTTCAAGAGGATTCCCAGCAGTGTTCGTGGGTCCTGGTTCTGCAGCACCCCAGATACAGGGCTGCACCTACGGTAGCAACCAGCCTTTTAGGGAGGAAAAGAACAGAAGGAGAAAAAAATACTTTCTTATCTCTCTGGCTCCCAATCAGACCACGCTGATGCTATATTCTCTTGCGAAGACATCAGGCAGTTGCATCTTTATCTCGTAATACCCCCAATAAGTAGCTCAGCTGAGTTTAGTGGCACCTGTTAGCGTCTCTGCAATTAAAAGGCTGTCAGTATTTTCACTGCAAACCCAGCTAGTCACAAACTTAACGCGGCTCCAACATATCTTCCAAGAAGAGATTTGGCTAAAACAAAAGGAGAAGCAGGGGATAAGTATTTTTTGTTTTTCAAGGACAATGAATCTGAACCTACAGCTTTCCTGCCCAGCAAGGTCCCTTGGGAAATCTGCTCCCAAGTCTCAGCTGAAGTTTTCTCGTAAGCACTAGAGAAATCAAAGAGATCCTTTCAGGCTGCAAGCAAGGGGTGGGAGGAAAAGCAATGAATTGCTTTAATATGAAATGTCACATTTAAAATAGATCCTACAAAACCAGAAACTGTAGGCTAGTAAATCCTTCCCTTCTGGAAATACTGTGGGTTTTGGTGGGAGTACCACTCAAAATAAGCATGCAGAATCAGGCCTCAAGTACATAAAATATAGAATTTGGTACTTAAATTTAAAAATATTTATAAATAACTTAAGACATTCAGGCTCAGAGGCGCGTACAGCCAAGTACTTCCCTCTGGCATGGGGAACCGCAGGGATCCACAGCCAGTACTACGGATCCCCAATGCAGAAATTTGCTTTACGCTTAACGTAGAAACGAAACCTGCTCCTTTCAGGCTCTTTGGAAAGTCTCCCGCACCCCTCCGAGAGCACGTGGAGGACACGTCTAATCAAGCAGAAAGCATTTGGGAGTATAGCTCCATAGCACGGAAGGTGACCTGTTCTTCCTATACATTCATAGCACATGGCAGAACAGCTCCCGGGGGATTCCTAGGCTGCAGCAACACCGCGAGGTCAGCCCCGCTAAGCCTGGCCACGGGAGGCTGCAGAAAGCTGCTCGCACGCTGGAGGTGGTCCGCCGTGGCTCGGGGCTGGCGTAAAGCGACCCGGGAGAGGAGGGAGCCCTCGAGTTCTGCCCTCGAGCAAAGACGGGCTCAGCCGGTCTGAGCCATGTGCTCTGCAACCTCCTGGCTCAGCTCAAGCGCGGCGAGGGCAGGACTGACGCAACCTCACGCCCCTGCGCGCACAGCAGACATCCAGCCAGCAGACCTCCCCTGAGGGGAAGCCTTGAGTTCGTCCCACGAACCGTTCTCTGGCACGCCTGGCTTGTACCTGTCGAGCAGGCTGCGAAATGAAGGCACGCGAGGGAGGGTTAAGGTCAGAGGTGCATTTGTTTGGACGATTCCTTTCATGTAGTTCAGACCACGCGTGTCGCGTGGCAGCCCGGGCCGGCCACCCTCCCTGCACACAGGGCAGCAGGGCATGGAGGCACGCGCGCCCGGCGTGCCGAAGCAGCTGCCCTCAGCAAGCGACCGCTCCGGGGCAGAGCATGCAAACCACGGCTCCCTTCGGAGACAAGCCGGGTAAGCTGCTTTGGCCACGCGGGTATTTGCCCACTAGCCACGGACCGGGGCAAACCAGTCACACGGGCCGTACCCTCACTGGAGATGTTGGGCTGGATGGCCCTACAGGCCATCAGCCATGCCCTGAGCAAAAAATGAACTCTAGATTTCTTTTCTCCCATGGGTTTCATTCAGACCCATTATGTACTTGGTCTCAGTACATTTTTTTTCCTGTTAAACACCTAAAAAAAAAAAAAAAAAAAAAGTTCTTTGGCACTTGTGCGACAATGACACATAGACGTGACGCTCTCCTGTCCTCTGGCTGCTTGCTGGACTCATCTCTAGAGGTCCATATATGTAGAGTCTGTGTCCACCCTCTGCGCCTCTCCAAACATGAGGAAGGCACAGAGGCCAACGCTGTTAACAGCAGCCACCAGGTTGAAAACAGAAACCCAGGAGCCAGTCGTTTCAATCAAGTAGCCAGCCAAGTACACGCAAACGACACCTGGGGCAGGAGGGAAGAGAAAGAAATGCAAAGGCTCGGGGGCCAGATCCTGCCCACCTGCGAGGAGAGCAGTCCCCAGGACAGGATGAGCTGCAGGGGGGTACCTTACCTAGGAGGGCTCCACCTGTATTCCCAACACCTGTAAAGAAAAGAAAGAAATTCAAAACCCACAGACGGGGCGGCTTCATCCGGGCTCCCACCCGGCCCCCGCCCTGGGTGCACAGCTAAACGAGCTCCCACCCTGGCTGATTAAGTGATCAGACAGAAATCCACGGAACGAGCTCGTTGGAATTGCAACCAGCCTGGGGACTACGCTAAACGCCTCGCTGGTGGGCAGCTGATGGGACAACCAACGCTCGGCCTCCTCGCCCCCCTCGGAGCAGGCAAGCGCTTGGCAAGCTGGCAGGCGCGCCCCTGCGCCTACCTGCCCCCGGCAACGGCAGCTGCATCTCAGAAGGAAGCTGCGGCTGCGCACACGGAGCAGACGTTGCACAGAGCTGCTCCTGCTCAAACCTGAACGCTGACCGCCGCGTCCCCCCTCTTCCCAGACGCACCGCCTCTCCAGCGCAAGCGAAACCCCGCGGGAATCCTTACCGAACAGTAAGCCGGCGCACGACGGGGCCAGATCCTGTACGTTTACTGAAATGCCACTAGTGAGAAAGAGAGGGGGGAAATGGCTGCTTTAATGGAGCGCAACCGCTTTTTCGTCATTTGCCAGAGTTTAGTGTGTCAAGCAAAAGGAAGGGATCCTAGACAATGAATGGCACTGTCAGGAGAAAGGAGGAAAAGGATTCAACTCAAAGCGTTCAGAGGGGCGGACTGCAATTCCCCTCCTGCTTCACCTCCCGAATACCTGCCCTCCCGCACGCCAAGCCCTTCCCCACGCCGGAGCTTTGCTGGATCAGTTCCAGCGCAGCGGGCGCTGACCTCCACCGGCCTCGCGGGGACCAACGCGCGATGCTCAGACCGGCGCCAGTTCTTGCTCTGACAGTCACGACGGAGGCAGCCTCCTCCAAGATCCCGAAATGCCAGGTGTGGGTAAGAGCTACGGGCCCCAGCTACTGTCGTTATCACGGTCGTTACCTGTGGTTAAAGGTCTGAAGTCCGACAGAGGCGGAGGCGAACACTATCGCTTTGCAAAAACTGGAGGTCTGGCCCAGGCACAAAGCAAAAATGCTTGAGACGCCGGAGCCAATGACCTGGAAGAAAGGGAAAATTAAATACCACAGCACATTTTCTGTAAGGAAGAAAGCAACTGCTTTCACGGACACACCGTTCCCTTTTACAATGGCAAGAGCTCGTACGCGCCAGGTGCTTCTCAAGCCCTTTTTCTCGCCCGTGTCCTGCCTTTCTGTGTCAGAGGTCTGTCCGGAGGGATGCAACGCTGCGGATACGCTGTGCTCTCACCTGGCATTTCTATTTCTGCTCATCCTTGTATGGCTATTTCCTAGTCTCTAAGGAAGTGATGGCATATGGTTGGCCATGAAAGAAAACCTCTTTGGAGCACTCACAAATCTCTGTGCTCAACATCACCACTGGTCCATGCTCTGTTCCTTGGTCAGGGTTTTCCTCTGGATTTCATTTCCCATACGCACTGACCACCAGTCTATCTGCGAAGCTAGAAAACCTTTTCTCTTTCCACCCATAACCACCAACCCAGCTCCATAAGAGGTCTCATGTGCCGTGCAAGCAGAGCTCAGCAGGTAGCTCAGGTGTCACTCCTGTGGCCTCAGCTCTCTTACCTGCATGAACTTACGAATGGTGATGGTTTTGTACCCTGGAAGAGAAAGGGAGAGTTGCAGTTAAGCACAGCTCACCAGGTCTCCTTGTTCTCCAGCCACAAGACTACAGGGTAAGTGGATTTCAGATGGCGAGATTTCATCTCCAGGTGGACATTGCGATGGAGATCAAAGGGAGCCCCAAACACATGGATGGGATTTGGACCCTGCAGTATTTATTCTGCTTTCATATCAGAACCTCACCTTGTCTATTTGCTGGGTCTGCTCCCTACCAACAAGCCCATTCCCTCCCACCCAGGTCCTCTTTCCACATCACATAAAATAAGGGCTGAAGAAAAGCCAGAAGAGCTCTTACCCTGGCTGATTAAATGATCAGACAGAAATCCACTGAACAAGCTCGTTGGAATTGCAACCAGCCAGGGGACTACATTAAACACCCAACCCTAAAAGGAAGCAAAAATCAAGAGAGGTTTGCTGTCGGAGCTGAGTTCGTTTGCAAATATTTTATTTGATAGTCTGTGATATCTGTAGAAAGGGGAAAAAAATGAAGTGATCAGGAACTTCTTGCAGGATCTCTACCCACTTTGCACAGCAAGCTCTCAGCTACACCCTGCACCACTCCAAAATCTGTAAGGTGGCAGGCGCATTACGGGGCTGTAGCATTCGGTAGGTTTGTTGTCTTTCCTTCTGCCCCCGTGACCCTGCATCCAGCGGGGAGGCAGAAAGCTCTGTCTGCTCTGGGAAAGAGGGATTGAACGTGGCAAAGTTTACTGTTCAGCACGGAGATGTGGCAGAGAGCCACAGAGCCCTGGAATGCAAGCTGTAGATTTTACTCTGCCCCGTGGGTCATCAGTAAAGCTGTCGGCAAAATTTCCGACATCGGCTTCAACCTCATTAGCAGCGTTACTGTGAAGCTGAGGGAACATAGCTGGATTTTCTAATGCCAGGATTAGGTAACATTATGGGTAGCAACATACTTTGGCCTATTTTCAATTAAGCACGCTTGCTACAGTTGTAATCACAGATGATTACTGGTCATCTGGATTACAGCTGCTCAGAGGCGTTTTGGTGTCCAGATCCCAGGAGGAGCTGGAATCAGTGCGGGCTGGGCTGGGTTTCATCTCAGCTGCTTGAAGCTGCCCATCCATCCGTCGTGCCCTGCATCTCCCCCTTTGCTCAGAGCCCATCACCCCGTGCAGGCGTCCCTCCCTGCCTCGCCTGCCTCCAGGATGCTCAGGAGGGCTCAGTGATCTTGGGTTTGAACAATCCTGTTTCAGCTGCTCCTGGAAATCATAGCAGGGCCCATCTGCACCTTTCAGTGCCTTTGAAACTTCGGGTCTTGGTCACTTTTGAAAATAATACCGCATAGGGCTTGGGGGGTAGTAACTCTGGTGCCTGTTAACACCAGCTGGGGTTGCTCAGCAGCTCAATCCCAACACGCCGAACCACCCTTGTCTCATCCCTACAGCCCATCACGCAGAGCAGGGCGAGCCGGGACCCCCCATCACCTCCGTCCAGGTGGGCTGGAGGCAGCTGCCGAGGCAGCGGTGAAGGCGGCTCACCTGCAGAAAGGGACTCTGACCAGTAGGTGACATAGGTTTCCCACATTAAGGATTATCGCCCATCCTTTAAAATCAAGCATCCTCAAGCGCCGTTTTATTAAAATGTATGAAGCGCTTAGCAGATGCAGGAACGCATATAGAGCATCTTACATAAGGGCACCGTGATCTAATGCTTAACAGATGGTAAATTACTGCCGCGCAAGCATATTACTCGAGGTGCACAGATCTTGTCACAACAATATGTTTGCTGGTTTAATACCTGATTTTAATATAAATATCAAGTATGCCATAAAGCACCTTACACTTGTAATACGACAAGGCATTTGTAAGCAGCTCTGGAAATTGTAAAAACCAAACAGAGCCATGGTGGAAAAGATTGTCTGAGTTTCTGAGAACAGGAAGATCAAAATACTAGCTCTCAGCCCAGATGAGTATTGCCTAGGTTTCTGAAAAATGGGAACATCATTTGTGTTGAGGAGAGGGAAGCTTTTCTAGCATTTTTGAAGCACAGGTTATTAATGGTAATTATCATTTTTGCGGGCAGGTCTGAGCTATACATGTGAGTGCAGTTAAAAACCCCGTGCGAACCCAGGAGTGAATGGCTTGATGGTCATTTGCAACAGCATAATGTCATGAGGTATGTGCCATTCCAAAACCATCCTCTCCTCCGAAGAAAAAGAGTCGAAAACCCAAATGTAACCCTCTCTCCCCTGCCTGGAAGGTGCCCCAGCTCTTCCTCACTTCAGCATCCCTAAACAAGCGAGTAGAAACCAGCCTCTGCCTGCCTGGAGGGAGGATGCTTGCTTGCATCTCCAAATGCACGTGTGGGGGGGTAACAGCTCCCAGCCCCGCAGGGAAGCCTCCCGCCTCCTCCTGCCTCCCAGCCTGCTCTCACCAGGTCCCTCTGCCATCATCTTCCTCCCTAACCGACCCGTTTCGGCCGGCACCCAGCACGACCTCATTTGCACGGAGACCGGCAATGCCTGTGTCTCAGAGCCGCCTTACCTTCGACTCGGGGAAAGTTTCCTTAAAGAAAGTTGGCAGCCAGGAAAGAAGAGTGAAAAACGTGCTGGCCGTCGAAAGCTGAGCGATGATGACAGCCCTGAAAATACACAGCGGGGAAGAAATAATCAGGAGTGGCAGGTCACACTGGGTGGGAAACGGGCACTCGAGCAACCCCGTATTTCAGTTCCTGCTCTATAAATAAATCCCTCACAGCGCTACAACTGCTTCCTGAGATTTCTTCATAGATAACTACTCCTTTTGGCTTGCCACTCGCAGCACCACGCGTTCCTTCGCCGCCCTCACCGCACAGCGCCCGGGCGGGCGCCTGGCATCGGCCCCTGGCTCGAGGCGAGGTGACCTGCAGCGGCAATCACGCCAGCGCGTTGCCCACCAGTCCCTTCGAGCGCTGCAAGAGCTGTCCTGCTCCCAGAGGGGTTGCTTGGGGTTTTCTAGGGATCTGTTACCAGCAGATGCTGTATGGTCGTTCAAGGCAGGAATGGGCTTGCTGCCCTGCAGCCCCATCGCCCTCCTCGCCGTCTTTAAACGGCACTTGGGAACACGCCTGGATGAGCTTCAGTACCAAACGCAGAATCCCAGAGGAAAAATGGCTATTAAAAAGATGCTTTGCCAGCAATGAGGACACAGCCTGTGCCACCCAGTGCCCCTGAGCAGCACTTCTTAGGAGCCCATTACAAGCAGCATTTCTAACAAGACCGGTGGAGAATATCCCTCCGGAGGAGCACACAACCCACACAGGGAACAGGCTGCAAAGGCGGAAGATTTGCCAGTAATATTCAAGCCTGACGTTCCTCCGGACAGAACATAAACCACCTTTTGTCAAGCTTACCTTTTTAGTTCTTTATTTATACAGAAGGGATTAGAAAACCTGGTCTTATTTCCCAAATATATAAATAAGTGGACAAAATACACACAGGCAGAAGAAATAAGCAGAGAGAGGAGAAAAAGCCCTGGGAAGGAGGGTGCTCCCCAGCCCTGCCGACACTCGAGCCCACTGCAGCTGCCTACCATATCGGTGCCTTCTTAAACAGCTGCTTCCAGGGAACTTTGGTCTGCTTGGATATCGAGAGGCCTCTCATTAAATAATCTATGGGGATGATGAGTTCTGCAGGGAAGAAAATATACAAAGGAAAGCTCTGATCAGTAATTTTCTGTGCAGCTGGAGGGAGCCCTGGGAGACTGCTATACAGCTAGCTTTAATCTCTTTCTAACTCTTTTTTTTGGCAATATCAGCACTGGATGCTCGTGAAAACACCTTGTTCTGTTGACCAAAATTTTTCCACGGCATTCACAATTTCCCCATCCAGCCACCTTCACCCATTTGTTATATCTCGTGTTATAATTAAACAGAAATCTCTTTGGGCAAGGATCAGGTTTGGATTTGGTGCAGCACCAGGCACACACCAGGCTCCTGATGGGCTGAGCTCCTACGTACCACGCTCACACTAATACTGCTGTAGCCAGGTGTAATGGTTTGCTCATGTGTGGAATTACTCCCAGACAGTTATTTGGGAAGAGATATCCTGGATTAACTGGTTTTTAAAAGCTCTATGTGTAGATGCTCTTAGTTTGGAATAAGTATCTTGCCCTGCTTTAGCTTAATCCACTTTGAAGATCATGCTCGGTTTGTTTTTTTTCACTGGTGCTTAAGAGTACTGAGGAGGCAGATCAGGCTCTCGACAGCAATATAATCCAGCGTGGGACTTGAAATAGGAAATCAGCAATGCAAGAGCTCAGAACCTTGTTTCTGGGTTTAGCATCTTGGGTCAGACACAGCGTGTATTACAGAAGACATCTCAACAAAAGGTCTTTGTGTAAAACCAGGCACGATCTCGGAAACACAGGGGGTTTGCAGAAAATAACCGGGAGGGTCCCGCAGCCTCAGGAGCGCGGGCAGCCCGAGGGACGCAGGCGGCCGGACTTACCTTTCTCACTCAGGAGATACTTGCAGGTGCAGTAAACCCAGAGCAAAGTGAGCAAACCAGAGAAGTAGAAAACGCTCTCCCAGCCGTACCAGTCCAGGAGGAGAGACCCTGCACCGCCGATCACCAGCGTCCTGCAAGGGAAGCCACACTCGGATTGACAGGTCTGGCTGAGAGCGCTTGCACTGCACGCATCGACGGGAGAGGCTCCCTGGGGAGGGTGCTGCGTGCCACTAAATGCACTCGAAAGAGCCGTCCGTCGCTGCGTGTGCAGGCGCTGCCCGCCCGCCCGGTCACCCTGTGACTCTGCAGCCTGCCCTGTTCCCTGCGTGGCATCTCGGGATCCTCAGCCGGGGAGGAGAAACCCCTGAGGGACCTCAGGTTGACCTGCCCCGCACCGAAACACGCTCATCGGGGAAAGAACATGAGGTTGCTGGTTTGCAGAAAGTATCTACATGTATCTTCTCCCATGTGGTTAGCGATAGGACGAGAGGAAATGGGCTCAAGCTGCGCCAGGGGAGGTTTAAGTTGGAAATTAGGAAAAATTTCTTCACGGAAAGGGTGGTCAAGCATTGGCTGCCTAGAGAGGTGGTGGAGTCCCCATCCCTGGAAGTGTTCAAAAAACGGGCAGAGGTGGCACTTCGGGACATGGTTTAGTCTGGTCTAACCTTGATTGGTTTAGTGTGGACTTGGTAGTGTAGGTTAATGGTTGGACTGGATGATCTTAAAGGGCTTTTCCAACCTAAATGATTCTGTGATTCTATGAGTCTGTCTCAGGGAATCAGCAAAAGGAATGAGTACACTGGAAAACTAAGTGATAAAACGCAGTAATATTTGTATTTGGCTTTTAAGCAACCCTTCCCTTTAGAAAGGTAATTCTCATGGAGATTAGCAGAGATGGGGAAGTTGTATTATCTCCATCTATCAGGGAGGACAGATGACCAGTCTCAGGCTGACCCTTGCTCTTCCTACTGAATCAGGCTGTTTCCCATAGTAATTAAATGTTGCAAGCGCTCTTCAAAGTCTGGCTTGAAAAGAAAGGAAAAAAAAAAAACCATAAATCCTTGACATGCACGACAGCAACTGCCTGAGGCTTCCTCAGCTGCAGCCGGTATCCTCAAGGACCCAGGAATCCACGTGTACTTGGCTGCGAGTTTTGCCTCCAACTATCTAATGGCATTTTATCACGTACCATGTCCGGAGACTGTAACTCACTGCTGAAAGCCTTTTGAACTTACCCAAACTGCGAGCCAGTCCCCACTGTGCTGTAGGTGAAGGCTCGCTCGCCCTCCCGGACCTTCTGGGACAGCAGGCTGGCCAGGGACGGGAAATACACCCCTGCGAGCAGCGGGAGAAGGCAGGGAGCAGTCAGGCTCCTGTGCCCTCGTGAGCAAATCAAAAGCAAATTGAAAAGATCCAGCAGGAGCTAAACACCGAGACAAAGCAGCAAGACCTTTGGTGAATTCAAAGTGGGGATATAAAATAAAATAAGTGAATGCATCGCCATGAAAGGTTGGTTTGTGCCTTCTCCGTAATCCCCTGCTTCATCACCACCGCTGCCGCAAATCCATCGGTGCCGACGCGCTTCTCCCGACGGTCCCCCAGTGCTGCAGCTCGGAAGGAGGGAAGGGAAGTCATCCCGAATTACCCACATTTTTGGCAAGGACCAATTTTCCCCAAGCGCTTTGAAGGAGTTTTAAAACGCGGAAAATCAAACAGGAACGGTTTGAAAATGCGGAAAATCAAACAGGATCAGTTTTAAAATGCAGAAAGCCAAACAGGAACGGTGATGATTTCAGAAGGCAGTGGCCCTTGTCGGGCAGGGAGATTTCTACAGGGGAACGATTTGTCAGCGACTTTCTCTAGAAACGTCACTGGTTTTTTCCCCTGGAAGTTCTGGATGTGGAGGCAGTTTTGAGGCACAGGATTGCTCCAGCACACAGAAGGGTTCACGCACTGCAAGCCACACGACGTGCATCTGAATTTACTGCACGCGAGCCGCCCTGCAAGGAAGGCCCTGGGCAGACAGACAGACAGACGCTCAGGACAGGGGTCTCAAGGAAGCCCCTGGGCAGACAGACAGACAGACAGACGCTGAGGACAGGGGTCTCCCTTTGCAGCAACCCCATGAGGAACCTGGAGGAGGTCATAAAAAGGAGGTGGGCAGAAGTGACGTGGGTGAGCAGCGGGGTGAGGACGGTGAGGAACCCCCAGGCCGACGCCGAGAGGCGGAG